CTCTGTCCTGGGAAGCTGGGCTGTCCAGAGCATCGGAGGCTGCATGTGCAGATGAGAAAAGTGGCCTCTGGGAGGCTTTCCAGCCCTCAAGAGAGCAGGGGACCCAGCCCCACCTCATGCAGGCCCCAGTTCTGCCAAGGCAACTCAGCAGGCCCTAGATGATGCAGGTTGGTGGGCAGAAGCACAGCCATGGCCCCCCAACAAGAGCCTGGGACGCCCATCTCCACGCAGCCCTGTGGTGACATCCACCCTCAATGCAGACTAAGGTTCTCCAGGCACAAGTCTGAAGGGTGTGTGCTGTGGAGGTATAGATGGAAGATGGGTACAGGACAAGGTGAAACTTTAAAAAAATAGAAGGTTCAGATAAAAATCTCAGTTTTATTTATTTATTAATTACACCCTCAAATTTGCACTACCACAGCAAGGACATTGGTGATGAGGAGAGAAGGTGGAACACCCAGCTGTGGTGATGGCCTGAGTGCCTGACCCCACAGTCTGTGTGCAGGGATAAGATTTCTGACACTTCATACTGGAGACGGTCCACAGTTCCCAGTGGTTAGGCATCTTGTGTTGGTTGGCAGCAGCTGTTCACGTAGGGTCGAAAAGGACTGTGAGTTGCATCCAGGGTCATCTGCAGATGATGCTGTGATCAACCAGTGGTGTCAGGTCAGCTGAGGAGGGAGGTGGTGAGGAGCCCACAGACTCGCCATTCATGCAACTGATCTACCGTGCAGTTATACCCTAATTCAGTGTTAGAAAGAAATAATGGTCCCAATAATTTTAGAGGAACCCAGGAGACCCTTGTCTGTCATAAGCTACTTTCAGAAGACAGCGAGTTGGCTGTGGAGCCCCATGCGCGTCCTGCACCCTGAGCTGAGTCGGGGAGAGCTGCCTGCCCGTGCAGCCATGGGCAGCAAGGCTGACACAAACCTGAAGGGACGTCAGACACTCTAATTCAGGTGCACCTTTTAACTCCTGCAGCCAGCAAAAATTCCTAGGGCCTGGTATATCCAGTGCCAGAAAAACTAGAGAGGCCAGACATCATCCCAGTCTCAGGAGTGGTGGGAAAATCGACCAGGAAGCAGACTGTGAGTAGACTCCTGTCTGTGATCGAAGGTCCTTCCCCAGATGTCCGACAGATGGCCACAGGGGGACCTGAATGCCCTGCATTTGCTCCAAGAGTGACCCATGTGGGAGTGTGAAACTCGGTCTCTAAGCCCTGGACCAAGAGGCAGTGGGACCTGGTCCAGTTCAGCAGGTTCCATGTTCTGGGCTTGGTAGAGCCCAAACCTGGGATACAAGAAGAAAGGAAATGAACCATCCTGTGACCTAAGAGCCTTGCTTGTGTCTGTGTTTAGAGTATGGGAAGGTGGACTCAGGGTGCATGAGGAGGGAGGAAGCTGACAAGAAGGGGCGAGTGCGAGGACCCTTCCTCACTCCTGAGCAGAAGGAGTGTGGCTTTGTAACCAGCTCTGCTTTTCACATAAAGACAGCCCCCACCCCTGACGCAGCCTGTGCCACTGTGCCACACACATCACCAGCCTCTGGGACGCTTTCCCCAGGAACTCCATAGCACTCTCCAGGAAGTGGATACTGAGGTAAACTCTCACTCAAACATCAAGGACATATTTCCAAATACCGAGGAAACATTTGTCTCCTGATCAGCATGCCACGCTGATCTGAACAGACCTCTGATTCTGATGCCCTGACGTCACCTCCTGAAGTAAGCCTTCCCTGATTTCATGTCCCCCCTTCTTACCTTCCCACTGAGATGGTAGCTCTCCTTGGTGCCGCACAATACCCCACCCGCAGTGTGCCGTCCATCAGACCTACATCCCTGACAGCAGCTACCCTGGCCAGAAGGGACAGGGAGGGGAAGGGAAGTGGATCCAGTCAGGACCCAGCACCAGTGCAGAGCCCACTGTGCTCCAGCTGACTCAATGGTGGGAGGAGCAGGCCCCTGAGCAGAAGGTGAGCTACTGGGGACGGGGAGGCAATTTAATGGGCTCATCCCTAGGAGGAAACAAAGGGAGAGAGGGCCAGGCTTTATCCCTCCATAGCCAAATCCTGAAAGCACAGTTATTACATTCATTTGGAAACTGCCTGCTGAATGACTGCCCACTGTTAAGTTCTGGGCAGACACTGAGGACACAGAAGAAACAAGATCAGGTCTCGACTCCGGGGGCACAGAGGAACAGGACGTGCTGAAGAGTGTGGCCTGTGCGTCCTGTTTTGTGCACGGGGCGCACACTATGCACACGGCTAGTCGGTATACATCTGCGTGGTGTCTGCTGGGTTGGCGCATGTTGTCTACCCCGGGAATCCTAAGGAAGAAGTGTAACCACCTCCACGGCAGGCATTTGCATCCCATGTCTGGAAACCCGATGTGGAAGAGGGCTCTGGCTGATGTGTTTCCAGCCACAAGCAGGCCTTTCAGTGGGCTGTTCAGAGGATTCCAAGCCCCTGGCTTAAATGAGACCTTGCATCATGGCCAGGCGGCCCACTGGGGCCGAGCCCAGGAGAAGGCTGGGGAAGAGGAAGGATGTGAGCCTTCTGCCAAGTTCAAGGCAGGTGGTACTAATACCCCAGATGGCAGCCCTATCTGTTACTTCCATGCCCTCTTTTCCCAACAGCCCATGGACCAGTGGCCCTGGCACAGCCAGGGCTGTGCTGCTGGATAGCAGACCCACGTCCTGCCCTCCTCTCGCTTCTCTTCTGACTTCCACTCTCAACAGTAAGTCCAGGCCCAGCAAGGTGACTTTCTACCACAGCCCCCAGAATAGAGGCCCAGCAAGTGTTGAGCGGCATTGACCGTCTATCTTTGGTTGGTCTCAACCCATCCTTAGGTTCAACATTCACGGATCTGGCTCTTGACACCCGCTGGCTGATCCTCATTTCCAGACTCCTCAGCCACCCACCCACCCCACCACAGTACATTTAGGGAACTTACTGTCTTATGGCCAAGAGACATATCATCTTTCCAGTTGTTTTGAAACATTGTAGGGGGCACTTTATTTACGGATCAGAAGGAAACAAATACGATTGAAGTCATCTCAGAATTAAGATGAACTCGCCAAGCCTACAAATGGCGTCTTTCCCTCTCCCCTGACCTGTCGACCATTCTTGCTCTCTCCTTCCCTTCCTTGCTCCTGGCTGCAAGCTTGGGCACAGCGCCGAAGCAGGGCTTGCTTCTGCCTTTTGTGTCCTTCAGCAACTAGGGTTGATGACACCACAAAAATGAAGACTGGGAACTCAGCTTGTTGACCGGCAGAGCTGTGGGTGAAACCCACCCTCAGCCCCCTGCTCCATGCCCTTGTTGGCTCGTTATTTAAACAGTCTGCTTAGCGGAGAGGGAGACAACCAGGAAAGCCTGAGGGGAGGTGGGAAACAGTCTCAGGAGGCTTCACAGAAGTGGAGGCATTGAGTTGGGATTTGAGGAATGAATAGGAGCGGGGTATGCAATTAAACTTGAACAAAAATTTTCAGCAATCCATGATTAAGATAGGTCAACACCATGAAAAAGCTAGTTTATATCAGGAATTTAGCCGTTAGAATAAACAGGGTGATTCAGCATTGACTTCACCCGGGCTGGGATGCCCCCTTCCCATGTGCAATCAGTGTTTGCATCCAGATGACTGCCCTTCGAGATGCCAGGAACCACCACGCTCCCCATCTGTAACAGAGGTCAAGATGCAGACTGACATTTTGTGGAAAGCTTTTCTGAATTAAGGGTTGAGACAAAAAGGATTTTGACTCCATTCACAGTTAACTAGAGACTTCAAGTCACCAAAACACCCCCTTCCCTGCTGACTGCCAGCCGGGGCTTTGCTGCATCTGTCTCTTTGCTCTGCTTCCTTCCCCTCTTGGCTCCCTCCTCAGTTCCTGTGCCCCTGCCCCTGCAGTTGTGTTTTCTCCTCTCCTCTCCTTCCTTCTTGCTCTCTCAGGAACAGGCTCTGGGAGGCCTGAGACTGGCCCTCACCTGGTGGGAGTGCCTGCTCCTGCTTGCTGACTGCTCTCCCTGAAGCTCTGTTTGTGGGTGAGGCCACAGCCCTAGACTCCAAACCGGCTATAAAAAGTAATGCACAAGGGGTGGAGGGTCAGAGAGATTTATGTCTCTTGGAAGAGACTGGAATTCAGACAAGGCACAGCTGGCCGAGGGAGGGAGCAGGAAGGCTCAGCCCTGGGGTGAGAAAGAAGAGGAGGGGCCTTTAAAAAGCAGGTGGCTTCACTGTTTCTATAAATGCAAATGGTACGTTTTCACTGAACACTGATTACGAAAATGGTCTTTTATTAGACAGCTGTACCAACCCAAAGGACAGCCCTTAGGCTCTAGCTGGGGACTCTCTCTGCAGTTCATAAACATGGTTGACTGCACCTCGCCAGGAGCACTTGTTATTTCTTTCTGCTCAAGGACTGCAGACCGGGAAGGAGCAGCCTGCGGGGGTAGGAGGACAGAAAGAGGCCAGGGCTTCACTTCAAACACTGCCTGATCTAATTATCCTTGCCATTTGCGTATTTATCTGAGAGTCACTCATCCTTCTTCGGAAGAGACTGAAAAAGAGACCTAGGTCTTCAGTCTGGGATGGGGGGGGGACAGGGAGGAGGGGAGGCTGGGAAGGGAGGAAGAGAAAGGCTTAGGCAGGGCCTGGGAAGACACCCATGTCTTCGCTCCAAAAGGCAGAGCTGAGTGTAATTTGTCTCCCTTTTTTATTTAGTTAAGTGAAAATTCCCTTCTGAGTAAATCACTTGCCTTCTGCCTCCTTGCTTTCAGGAAACCAAGTCCTGGTCCCCTGGCAGGTTAGGGCAGTGTACTCCATTCATGAGTGCCCCTGGAAATACAGCAGCCCACATGGTTGGGAAATCACAGTTAGAGAACCAAAACCTCACTGACAGGTCACGAGTTTCCCAGAAGGGGTAAATAACAGCTAATATTTATTGGGTATATACTATGTGCCAGGCAGTGTTAAATGTTCAGTATTAACTCACTCATTTGCTTCTAGCAACTCCATGACATAGCCTTTATGTACAGACGAGGCCACCAACACTTGCTCATGGAGACACAGCTGGAGAGCAGCAGCACCAGGATTCAAACCCACCCGGGCAGTGAGAAGCCTGATGCTCTCACCTTCCACCCAATGCTGCCTGTCTTCCCAACAAGCCCTGCTGCTGCTACCCTCATTTGACCGGCTCCTCCATCTTCTCAGACTCCTCTGCAGACGTGTGGCATTGCAGCATTGCTCTTGCTGCAGATATCAGGCTTCTTGGTCAGTTCTGCTTTGGTGTGGGGCTTTCTGCTAAGATGCACCAGAGACGTTGTCACTGTGACCAACACAGCACTTCCTGCAGTCCATCTTCCATGCAGTGATATGGGTGCCTCAAGGCTGTCTGGAGGAGCTGCCTTCTATAGAAACCCAGGAGGACAAGGAGCCCATGAAGGGAGCTCCCATCTCATGGAAGCCCCTCCAGAGAGCAGTGTCAAAAGACACATCACTCGGGAAGCATCTTACGGCACGAAGGCCTCTGTCAAACTGCCTGATGTGAACCCACTTCAACCACATGAAGAAAATCGATTTATCGACATGGAAGGATAGCTTTGGCAGCCCTGGAAAAAAACACTGTGTCTTGGATACTTAATCAAATAAATCAACTTGGAGGCTCCACGGGATTCCCCAAGTAAAGAATTGGTTTGCTTATTCTGCAGCTTATAAAATTTCCCTCTCCCCCTCAGAGGGATCATAGGCGACAAAACCCAAATGTTCCAGAAGCCGGACACAGGTATCTTGTGGTATGGAAGCCAAAGGTGAGTACCTTCACTTGCCAGATGCCTGGCTTGGGAGGACAGAGCTGGCTGCATCCCAGCCCTTCCCTGACTGCCTGGCTGTGGCTCAGGGGCCTAGGGAGGAGGCCACTCCTCTGAGAAATACATTTGCCCTGTGGTTACAAAACATCTCCAAATGATTGATGAAGCAGTCTCAGAAAAGCAGGAATTGTCACCAACACCTGAAATACAGCCACCTTGAGAAGAAAATACTTCATCCTTTCAGGAAGCCCCAAGCCCCAGAGACATTAATTAGAACAGGATTGAAAGAGGATCAGATTCTGTTGCAGTGTTAGGGTCATGGTCCCGTGTAACAAGATGATAAATTTACTCACAATAAGCTGTGACCTTTGTTTTCTCCTTTGGTTAAAGGCCCCCAGTAGCAGATCCAGCCTCAGCAGGGGCCATAACTCTTTCTTAGCAGATGGAGTCTGCCAGCCTTAGGAAATTAGGTGGAGGCCTTCCAGTCTGCAGGTGGAAATGTCACAGTCCATGTTGACCTGGGGTGCACTCAGACTCAGGTCAGAGCTTGGTTCAGGTCCGGCCTCTTTTAGGGAAGCCGCCAGTCTTGGTCAGTCAAATTTTGTGCCCCCATTTTTTGACCACAAATGATTTCACCTCTGTGGGTCTTTGATTCTTCTTGTGTAAAAGGAAGCGGTCAGATTAGGTATGTGTTTTCAAACTTCTATCAGCAGTGTAGCTCTTTATATAAATACTACAAGGTGCCCCACAAAACTAGAACAACTGGAGCCTCTTCAAGATTAGCCGGACATAATGGTAAGAGCTTTAAAATTCAGGTGGACGAGTTACTTATCCTCAGATCCTCTGCTTTTTCACCCGTAAAACAAGGATTATATCTATATATATATATTTTTTTTTTTTTTGAGTTGGAGTCTCACTGTCACCCAGACTGGAGTGCAGTGGCCACTCCCGGCCACCGCAGCCTTGACCTGCTGGGCTCCAGCGATCTTTCCGCCTCAGCCTTCCAAGTAGCTGGAACTACAGGCACGGGCTACCACGCCCGGCTAATTTTTCGATTTATTGTAGAGATGTCTGCCAAATTGCCCAGGTGGGTCTCGAACCCTCAGGCTCAGGCAGTCCAATAAAACTTCCTTCACAGGGTTATTGTAAGGATCAGCAAGATGATGCAGACATAGAACCATAGAGCATGGTGCTCATCTGCTCTGAATTCAGGACCATCAGTTCACAGCAGGAGTGGGCTCTTGATCCATGCCCTCGGCCCTTTTCTACCCCTTCTGTAGTACCAAGGATTTCTCGAGAGACCTCAGGGCTCTGTGGGGTCTAGCTTGAAACCCTCTGGGTGGATGAGTGCTTCCTAGACTCCTGGGGTTGGAATCCCATGAGAAGAAGCTTAGTGGATACCAGAGTGACCAGGCAGCAGCTGTGTCTGAAACACCCAGATTTTGTCTCTTTCTCTGCCAGGACCAGGACCCACTCCCAGATAACCCCATGGCCTTGAAGACACCTGGACTGGGCTGCTGGGGCCGGACCTGTGCCCACCTCGTGATGCCTGCCCAGCCAGCTCGAACAATTCACCCTGCTGATTTGCTGACCCCAGGATTCTGATCCTGTTCCCTCACACTGTTCTGTCAGCCTCGGTGACCTTCCTGGCTCTCTGCCCGCACCTGCCCAGTACCAAGGACTCTGCGTAGCGCCTCTGCCTTGCCTGTTCTCACTGCCAGTGCCCTGGTGGGACAATTTCACGGGAAGATAGAGTCCATATGTTAGAGTAGGAAATCTAAAGAGATGCTGTTTTCTGCCTAATCTGTTTTCTCCCCATGGGTCAATTTGGCTACACTTTTATTTTGAAATAAAAGAATCCAGGAACAAATGAGCCAGCACCTTATTATTGAGAACCATTTGCAGAAAGTCCCACAGAGCCGCTCCAAGGTCAAAACTGTCTGTTCTGCTTCATTCCGACAGGATGAAAATCACAAAATCGCAAAAAGTCTGGGCAGAAGATGGCATCTTCTCTTCAACTGATTGTGGAAGTTAAGAGTTCTCTCTGCAGCTCAAATCCCCAAGCCAGGCACATGTGTGCATCTAAGAAACAGTGATGGTGGGAGTTGGCTGGAGTGGTCAGGAAAACCACTAGAACCCTGAGACTCATTCTTGGCTCTCTCCTTTCTGATCCCAGATTTTCATGTTTCAAAAAGTGCCATCTGCTCTTCCTCTAACTTTCATGTTGCAGAAAAATAATTTTGATTCTCAAAATGGTGTGTTTTCTCTTTCTTCCCTTGCCTGGTCCCTGCGTCTGCATAGATGGGGGAGGGGTTCAGGAAGTACATTTCTGTTCGCAGGTCTGTGTGACTGACTCTCACCAGAAGATGAGCCTGTGGCGCCAGCCAGCAGAACTGCAGGTATCATGCCCCTCGGGTCTGCAGCAGGTACAAGGGCCCCTCCACGGAATGGACGTGCTCTGTCTCTTTAGTCCAATGCCACAGCCACTTAATCCTGGATATGCGGCTAGTGCAGCTAAAGAACTGCATTTGTAGATTTACTTCATTTTAATTAGTTTAAGTTTAAATAGCCAACTATTTAAATAGGTGACACAGTTTAGGGAACTAATTGTGTATGTGCTGGGAAGGCTTCAGAGGGTGAGCAGAGCTTGGATCCTACAGCAGAAACTTGGGCCCCTCCCTCCTCTCCTGGCCTTCTCTTGGCCCATGGTCCTTCCACAACCACCACCAATTGCCCAAACATCTCTTGAAGCCATTTCTTCCAACATATGGTCACAAAGTTGTTTTTCTTTTTTTTCCTTGAAGATTGTAGCTTCCATCTACTCTTGCTGCTATGTGGGCTCTCCTGATCTGACTACATTCTTCAAGCATAGAAATTAGTTTCATCTAAGAAACTGACTCCAACCAAACTATTAGGCATTCTGTTGAGAAGGAATACAACGACAGTTTCAGCTCAGGTAAAAAGAGTGTTGTAACCCATGTGCAGCATCTGCCATAGCCAGAGGCCCAGGTGGGACCAGGGCATGGGCTCTTATATCTGCCAACCTATAGCCAGCCCTTGCTGTAGCTTTGTTTTGCAAACTGGTGAACTAGTAGACTTTACTTGGCCAGTCTATTCTGTGCAGGCCCTGCTGGGCCTGGACATTCTGATTTATTTTACAACAGACAGCCTCTAGGTTTTTTTTCCTATCTCTTTTTCCCTGAGTGCCTGCCTACCTGTCTGATCCACCACCATACCCACCCCTGTATGTGTGATATATTGAAGTCTTTCGGCAAGATACCACTAAATAACATAGTACTTCACATGAAGTTAAGTCTTGTGGTAAAGAAAGACTTGACGAGGCATATGAGATGGATTGGGAGACCATCCTTCCCGTCATTTGCCATGCTGGGTTGGGAGAACACAAAGCAATCAACTCCTGGCTTTCCACACTCAGTGTTGCATGGGGCTTTACGCTTCTTAAAAGTGGTTGGCAATCAGTTATGTCACTTGATTCTCATAACTGACATGAAACAGGTGGGTCACATTTTAGAGATGAAGAGACGGAGGCTCAGAGTGGACAAGCCTCACTCTTGGTCACGGGCTAAGTCTATGTTTGGAGCAGGATTCCCAGATCGAGGCACAGGATCCAGCACTAAAGGTTAGGTCTGACTGTGTGGTGGGAGGCCCTGGAGGAGGTGACCTACATGACGGTCTTCTTTGTTTAAAAGAATGGGGAGAGGGCCTTCATTCCTCTGAGAGGAGGGTGTGGTGTCCACATCACGTGTCAGCCCTGGTGCCAGTTCCATGTCTCTGTGACCAAGCATGTGGAGAAAGGGGCTCCAGGAAGGAGCTTGGGGAAAGGCTGGGCAGCTGCTTCTGCAGCAGGTAAGAAAGGATGTCTATGGCGGAAAGAGGACATCCTTCCTCCCATTTCTGTGGAACATACCAGGGCCCTGGCCAGCAGGGACTCCCAGGGATGGAGTGCAGCTCTGCAGTCCTGGGCTTGCAGTGTGGCTCCAGGGTAGTCTCCTTGAGGCAAGAGGCATGGCCCAGGTCTGCTGCCATAGTGAGCATGCAGAAAGGTACCACTCCTAGGTCTCCTTTGTGAGTCTGTTGGAGAGCTCTGGAGGCCATGTTGACTGCCCCCCAGTTCCCACTTGCCACTGACACCCAGCAGCAGTGGAGACAGGCAACCCTCACATGGATTCAAAAGCAGTAGATGTCAAAGGACGGTCAGAGGAAAACACAGGGACTTAGGTGAGATGGTGGGAGAGGCTGCAGACACATCCCAAATAACCAGGTGAGGCTGGGTGATTTAACTGGGGCTTAATGTCCTCCCTTAGTTGGGGTCTGCATGTTTGTGTCCCACCAAAATCCTATGTTGAAACCTAAGCCCTATGGTGATGGTATGAAGCACTGGGACCTCTAGGAGCCTCAGGAAACTTCGTGAATGGGAGTAGAACACTTACTAAAGAGGACTAAGGGAGTATGTGAAAACTCAGCAGGAAGATGTCATTTATGAACCAGGAAACGGGCCCTCAGCAGACACCAAATCTGTAGCACCTTGATCTTGAACTTCTCAGCCTCCAGAAATGTGGGCAATACATTTTTGCTTATAAATGACCTGGACTAAGGTATTTTATTATAGCAGCATACACGGACGGAGACGCACAGCAACAAACAGAAACATGAATGTTTGAAATTAATTTTAAAATGTTATCCACACTCTTATTAGAGGAGCCTACCTGCTGCTGCATGGACTATATGATACCTGAGGTAGGGCCAGAGGGAGAAGAAGGTGAATCAGGGAGGTAGAAATAAGGCATGGCACTTTTGTACAATGCCCACGTGCTTGCAGAAATAATACCTTCTCAAAGAAAAGCAACACAAACCAACCAACCTAATGCTTTAGTAGTGGGCCAAGGAGAGACCCTAGACAAACATGTATCCCCATCCACACTATGGCCATCAGGCCAAAGAGTGGGCCACAGTCATGAGCACTGCCTAGACCTGGCCTGTGGTCCTTTGTGCCCGCCAAGGCCAGGAAGTCTGTCCTGGTAGCTTCCAGGAAAGCTTACCAGGCTCCAAACACAGGATATTCAACAAATACTTTTTAGCTAATTACCTAATTTTAAATTTTCATGCATTTACATTTTTCAAGGCAATTTGGCAAAGGAAACCAAGTAACTATTTTTGGTTTCTCTTTAGGTTACACTTTATTCTGCACAATTTTGAGCCAATACAGTAAGAATATGTAATTACATATGGGGTAGTTTTAACAAATTTACAGAAGATGAACTTCCTGCCACTGGCATTCAGCTTCTGACGCAGAAGACATGAAAAGGGGGTGTTAGCGAATCGTTCACAGTTCTAGACATTTTACCCTCCATCCATATCTGATTTTTCTCTCCACCCATGTCCATGTCTTCTCCTTCCTGTGGGAAGGGAGGGGCAGCAGGATCTAGAGCACTTTCCCCTGACTTGTGACTGCAGTGCTTTAGAAAATTCCTTTCCTTCCGAGCCTCAGTGAATGAAAGAGCAGGGAGAATTACTGTCAGGGTTACCAAGATGTGAACCTCTGAGGATGGCGTCTAGGACAGGGATGCAAAGAGGAGCTCTTGATCTCTGGCTACTTGGCTCTTTGCCCCCAAAAGAAATGCCCCCCTCAGGCTGGCAGCAACTCCCAGGAGGAGCAGCAGCAGCTCTAGGCACGGCCTCCCAGAACACGCTGCCAGCTCTGCTCCCCGCAGCCTTGGTCTCTCCCTCGTCTCTTCACATTTACAAACTCTTCACTTTCACTTCACCCTATGTATTTTTTCCTTTTATTTTATAGTGTTTACGATTCTTGTGGTATTGTTAGCTTCACTTACAAACATGTTTTTAACTTTCGTCTCTATAGCTCTTGGTTTTTATTTTAATCATGTATAGCTTCATTTTTAGGTTTTTAATCTCCATTGGAGTCCAGCCATTTATCTTATTTTAAATCTCATCTAGTTGTGTCTTGTCTTTTACAAAAAAAAAAAAAAAAAAAAAAAAGCTCTTAACATTCCTTACTGGAATCTTAACTATTCTTCCAACTTCCTAGATATAAAATTTCTTAAATTTTATTTTTTGAACTTGAGGCCTTTTGCTTCTCTCATTTTGAGATACTAATTTATTTAGTTATTTTTCTTCCTTTATTCATATTGAAATTGTAAACAAAGTTGCTTGTTTTCGAACTTATTTTTAAATGTCTTTTCTTGGTTAAAGTGTTTGTCTTTAAGCCCATCTTACCCTTTTAGTCTTCTTTTACTATGGAACTGGAGTCTTCTTTATTATCTTCTTATTGTATTTTTTTATTTTCCATGATTTGTCTTTCAAATGTTCAGAGTAAGGCAGCCCCAACATAGGGTGAAGGTCATGTTTCCTCCAGCTGGCCCTGCAGCCTCCTCCCATTAACCTAACAGAAAGACCCACCCACTTAGGGGCAGTTTGACAAAGACCCTCTCCCCACCTGGCTGGAGGGACCCTGGAGTTAATCCCCACCCTGGCCCAGGCACAAATGAACCTTAGGAAAAAGGAGCCCCATGGGCCTTCCTTCTGCCTCTCCCGTGAGGATCTGCGGGGATGGGATGGTGTCTGACTCACAACATCCCCTGTCTCCTTGGTCCTACCTGGGCTGAATAACATGCCTGGGTCAACGCTCAGAGATCACTGGAAGGATGAGATACTGACTCTTGGCTTGAAGTCCTTTTGGAGAAAGCTCCAGGGAGACTATTCGCCCAAGGGGTTCTCTGCCCCACACATAATCCAACATTCTGCAATCTGCTCTGTTTGGAGAAAGACTCTCTACCTTAAACCTAGAGACTTTAGCCACTGGTCATTCAAACTGCCCTTCTCTCTTGTTGAAGTCCATTGTCCCTAGTAGTGACGCAGGGAGATTCTCCTCTGGCTTTGTCAGAATGCCCTACTCTAGTGCAGTTTACCTGCTTAGGAAACTCTCTGAGCTCTCTTAACTCTAGAGACTACGTAAACATAAAATGCCATAGCTTGAAGGAGCTTAGCCCTTAGAGCTGGTGAGCCATCTTCCCAGGAGAAACTCAATTGAATTCCATTCTAAAAACCCTGAGGTCAAGCCCCAGTTATCTGAGCATCAAATAAAGGAATGAACACCCTAGCACAGAAGTGACAAGTGACAAGGTGTGATCTGGGCACACTTTCCCCAGAATTTTCTCCCTAGCCTGGGTAAAAGTCATCTTGCTGGGAATCTGTAGGACACATTTTGTTTGGGT